TTCCACTTAGTCCACATACATTATTCTTTTGAACAGTTTCATAAGATTGCATGATATGGATGTACCATAATTTCTTAACCACAGAATGAATTATTATTATCATTAGTCATCCTCATGCAGACACTACCCATAGATGTATTTTGTTCAGCCATCACAATGGTTTTCACATATGGATCTCAATGTATTGGGCCATTTGGGGTCTGGTAGAAAAAGCAGTCCATCGACAGACACTCTCATCTTTTAAAGTAAAAGGGTGTCATGAGGAAATATTTGCCCTGCCTGACAGCAGGATATATTCACGGGACTAGGTTTCCCCATTAAATTTGAGTGAAAGTGGTGGAAGAGATGAAAATTCCTGGTCTGAAACTTTAAAGAACTGACAATGTCTCCTTTATACAATCTCTGTCCCTTCTGCCAAGATGCTCAATGATGAGAACAGGGCTGCTGTGGCAGAGGCAGACCTAAAGTTTTTCACCATCACCACAGAAACCTCAGGCTACAAACTTTAGACACAGCTTTAGAAGAAGTGGGTAAGAGTCAAGAGTTGAAGGAGGGAAATTCCCACCCAATGGAAGAGAAAAAAACCCTTTTATAGAAAAAAATCATCTTATGAAAACAACTGTTTTAATGAGGAAGAAGAGGTTGGGTCCTAGAAAAAGACTGGCTTCTTGGTATGATTTTTCTTATAAGAATTTCTGTAATATAAAATGTTTCATGGCTGAAAGCATAGTTATAGCACCAATAAAAATGTGGAAAGAAAAAAAAGAAGAAAGAAAAATAGGGGCTGTGGTTGTGGCTCAGCGGTAGAGAGCTCTCCTAGCAAGGCACTGGGTTCGATCTTCAGCACCACATAAAAATAAATAAATAAAATAAAGGTATTGTGTCCAACTACACTTAAATTTAAAAATGAAATAAATAAAGAAAAATACAGTATAAAATGCTAAGTTCTAGGTCTGATGTTCATTCCTAGAGCCCTGGAATAGTCCAGACTCCTGTAAATCACACATCCACACTCACTTTACAGATAGAGGTGAGGCCAGGTGTCCCATATTTCCAAAGTTTGCCTTGTTAATTGTTTATAGATTTGCATTTTAAATCAGTCCTTTATTTTTCTTTTCCATATCATGTTACCTCTTTTGATAAATTTGAAGGCATTACTGCCACCCAGCTAATCCTTTAAATCCTACTTGAATCTCACACCAAGAGTCTGCAGAAACTCCTTCCTTTGGCTCTACAGTCTTTGATGCTATTTGTTGCTTCTAACTGTGTATAAAACATCATGACTCCTGTTTTAACAACCATCCCATCTTTGTCTTCATTTTCCTCTTCTTGCTTCTTTGCATGTTCTATCCCTCTAATTTCTTCTCCACATTATCACTCCAACTTAGGCCACTCTGTCTTAATAACCTTAGCTTCATTCATCCCATCAGTCCCACTTTTTCAAACATAGAATTCACTCTATCTTCTTTCAACTCAAGTCCACATCTTGCCTCATCTCATATTATCTTCCCCTTTCCTTTACTTTCCCTCTTTCCTTCATTGTTATAAACAGGGTAGCCCAGGCAGAGTTTGTCTTAAAAGATAAAGTTGGCAGAAGGAGGGGCAGGAGGGACAAGGACCAAAGAGAGCAACAGGTTAGGTTAGCTTTCCCAGGGCTACCCTCACATTCCCAAGTGCCTGGGATAAGGGAAGTCCAGAACCTCTCAGGCAAAATGAAGATGAGGCAAGTAGTGTTTGAGGTCAGGCAAAACCAGATGTAGCAACAGAAGCTGACTGAGCCTTGTGAGCAAGTGGCTCAAAAAAGAAGAAACAATAATGACCAATTGAGATATGAAAAGATTCTTATCCTCACTACAAATCAGGAAAATGAAAATCTCTGCCTATCATGAGGGTAATGATTAAAAAGATGGACATGAAACAGTGATGAGAGTGTGAGGAAACACTCTCAAATACTATTACCAATGGGATAAATTGATAGGCTTTCTTTACCACAGTTTGGCAATATACAACTATACTTCCAATATCTACAGCTTTGACCCCAGAACTCCAACATATAGGATTTAGTGCAAGAAAACAATTAGATGGAGAAACAAAGATATGGATCTGAAATCATTGATAACCTCTGCCTTCTTTAAAACAAGAGCAAAATGGGGTTTTGGGGAAGCCTGGCAAAGGGAGGGAGGAGGAAGGACAAAAAGAGAAGGGGAGAAGGGGGGGCAGAAAGGAGATACAGAAGGGTGTGAGGAGGACATGAGGTGGGCAAGGGTGAGAAATAAGTGAAAGAGCGGGTGGGGAGAATCAGGGTCACAGATGAGCTTGAGAGAAAAGTATGGGGACCAGAGAAGGAGGAGGGAGGAGAGAGAGAAATCTCCATAAACAATAAACAATTATGGTATCCATATCATGCAAGCATTAAAATGAATGATGTAGTTCTCTACTATGAAATAGAAGAATGGTTCATTAGAAACAGCAAATGTAGTGTGATCCTGTTTATCTAAAGTGATACAAAGGAATTACACCATGTGCACCACGGATCTCATAAGTGGACTTCCTCTGGTAGATTTAGACTCTGCTTCACACATTTCACACATATCTAAAGTGACAACAAAGGGTTTTACACCATGTGGACTTCCTCTGGTAGATTTAGAGTCTACTTCACACATTTCTAGTTTGTCTGAATTTTAATATTTTCTAGCAATATGCAAGATACTACAATTCTATCTACATAATTTAAACCAACCCATACTTTCCTGTGTGCATGAACTAACATGGAAACAAATTAAGTAGATACAATGATACTGCCTGCTTTTCATATTGCAAAATGTTCTGTTCTTCATGAAATGAATTTAAACTCTATCTGTTCATTAAAAGGTCATGTATGGGGGGCTGGGTTGTGGCTCAGTGGCAGAGTGCTTGCCTCACACATGTGAGACACCGGGTTCAATCCTCAGCACCACATAAAAATAAAAAAAAATATTGTGTCTATGTATAACTAAAAAATATTTTTTAAAAAGGTCATGTGTGTAAACCTGTTCTGAAAAGACAATGGAAGTAGGCTATGACTACAGATGTCACCTGTCCATCTATTCTTTGTTCAAACTTGGCTCTATCTGGACATGCCACAAGGGTATTTATCAAAATAAAAATATTTTTCATCATGAAGTCACATCATTGAAGATGTCAAAAAGAAACTGTCTTAATTCTGGTTCTCCCTAAAGAACTTGAAAACAGGTACTTTATTTGGGTTTGGGAAAATGAGACAAAATACATGGAAGAAAAGTAAGTATGTTAACAAATGAGGTAATATGGCAGACATCTGGGATTCAGTGCTTCTGCAAGCCTTATGAAAAGCCATCAAAGGAAGAATCATAGAATTTTCCACTGACTGACACTTGCAGGGCATGGGAATATGTGCCTCAGATGCATATTGAGGTCTATGGACCAAACAGAGTGACAATTTGTATTATGATTTTTATCTAACCAAAACCTTAAAACTCCATGGAGTCAATACTGGCCTTATTTATAAATTAGGAAGCTGAAGTACAGAAAGATTAAGCCACTTGCTAACAATCAAAGTTAAAAATCAGCTGAGATAAGCTCTAAATGCAATTTTGTCTCTTCTGCTATATGATGCAATGTGGCAAAAGGTTGTTAATTCTCAGAGACAGTTGATCTCTCTTTTGCTTGGTCGAACAGCCTGAGAGATGCATACACATTTCCAGTCTCCCTCCTTGTAAGAGAAAGGTATTAAGATAGCTACCCAGATTATCTTAATCCTCTTAAATCCACAGAAAAATCTTCTAGGTCATAATCCACCAGCCATGTGAATTTTTAGAGCATCATCACCCTGGCTACTCCCACCCTAAATACCAGTTACTATGAAATTATTCCAGAATTTATAACAAAGTATGGGGAGAAATTCAAGAGAAATTTTTGTCTGATGAACTCATTGGGAGAATCGAATTTCACAGAGTTTCAGAGTCGAGTATATTAAAAAACAATCTACAACTTTACTGTAAAGAGAGCACTTTATTAGAACAAATAAAACATGCTGAGCTCTGCCCAAACACAGAGGTCACGCTCATGTGTGAGCCAAGGAGTATCTTTTCTTGCTTTAGTAGAAAAGATAATAATCTGCAAATCATTAGCATCTGAGGCTGGCTTGATTTAAAATGCACATAGATGTAGAAAACGTTTCAGGAAATCAGTGTATTTATAGCTTGCTTGCATGAATCAGTGGAAAGGCCCTTGCTGCTCCCAAAATAACACCTGGAACTTGCTGTATCCTATCACCTGCAGTGATGTAAATGCATGTCTCTCACCTTCTATTCCTTAGCTTCCCCAGGAGGACATGTTCCACTGCACAGGAAGCCAGTGGAGCAGACAGGCTCCCAGGCTTCCTCCACCTCTGGCCCAACTGTACAGCTGTTGGCTTAAGAAAGTCCCATTCCCAGAAGTCCCAGCGCAACCTGTTTGAAGAAGTCCTTGCTCTATATCCCTCTATTACCTACCCAACCACCAGGCTGATTTAAAGCCCCCTTTGCATTAAACCCCACAGTGCACAGGATCTTTTCCACAAGGACAAACTGTAGAAGGGTCTAACCAGGCACAGACCACCAAGATCTTGCACAAAAGAAACACATAAGTATCAGAAGAAATGACAGTGATCTTGTTTACAAATTACCATGATGCAGAGAACCAGACCCCAGCAAGCACACACTGGGATGTCAAGAGTTGTCTTATTTTTATCCTCTTGGTAGAGAACTTCATAATTCTTCATCCACAGCAAAGTGGGCAAACTTCCAGACACATGTGTTATATATCTGTCTAGGATTGGTTTCCTGCCCAAGAATACCACAGCAACATGAAGACCTTTGTGGGATGGGAAATTGCCAGGTCTGCTCTTTCCCCAAACTCACAAAAGCCTCTGTGGGAAACACACCCACTGGTTCCAACAGGAAAGGAAAGGAAAGGGCTCAAGGGGAAAAGGGGCACTTCACCTGGTGCGCTGGGCTGGAAGACTTTATTCAGATCCAAGGAGGAGGCTCTGGAATGGGTTTTCTGTGGCCTCGGTGGCGGGGTGGGAGGGTCCTCACCCCTTTTCATGGCCTCTTCTATGGAGGTGCTAGAGTAAGATCTGCAGCAAAATAAGGGAAGGTCAGAAGGGAAATAGCAAAGCTTTACTCCTGAAGTTGGGTTGAAACAAAAAATATCCCCAAAGTCAAAGTGACTGCAAAGGGCTGATAGGCTGCCAAAAGTAGCCATAAAATCTATTATCTCTTAGATGCTGTTATGTATAATGATTGTCCAAATACAACCATAGATTGGAGTATTTTTTACCACTTTTCTCTTATTATAGCATATACCTAACTTTATCCCCAAAAGCTCTGTGTAGATTCAAATTGCTTTTTATTAGAGTTGATAATAAGAGTAACATATAAGACTTTCAGCTTAGGTACTTCCGAGTTTTAATAGAAGAGCTCCCTGGTATTAACTGATTGCAGAACTTTTTTCAGTTTACTTGCAAGTATGATAACAGGCACATATGGAATTGGGGCAGATAAATTGGGATTAAGAATCAAATATTCAAAGGAATATGCCATAAATGAAATTTAGGAAAGGAAAAACACACATCAAAAGGCTAAGGGATTCAGCTTGTCTTGTCCTAAGAAATAGAGGTTTAGGGAAAATTTGAAAGCAAAACCTTCAACTTAATCTTCTTCTTCCTTAAGTGTAGCAAGGTGCAACTTCTGAGATTATAACTCTAACAATGACATTTAAGGAAAAAGGAACTGCATAACTTACCATCACCAAAGGTCACACTGGCTAGAAAGTTACATAGGTTCTTTCAAACTCCAGTCTCTGTTTAAAATTCCATTTTAAAAAAATGTTTTTATATGGCCTATGAGCCAGACAGTAGCAGCTAGAGTATTTATTGGAGACCTATTTATTTTCTCATTAATTCAACTCCATACATTGACCTATTGCTTAGGTCAAAGGATAGGCTCCCAACATGATGATCACAAAAAGGATGGGGGAGTGGATGTGTATAGTCTCTTCTCTTCAGCTTTTCCACTAATTTCATGTCAAAGTAGAAAATTACCTCTGAGTCAGAGATATGTCCTGGAGACAAATTAACCTCAGGAAACTGTTCTTTGGCCTTAGCTATTAGAGTGGTACTTAGGAAATTAGAATCTATCAATGACTATTAGGCCCCTCAGTTCTTGGCAGAGCTGCTCTTGACACAGCAAGTTTTTATTTTCCTCAATTAGTTTCTCAAGGTTTCTTTGTGGTAGTTAAAGAGTTTTATCTATCTTGCAAGGTTGTAATCTTTAATAAAGCCACCATAATGACATCTGACATGCTCTGGGGTGGTCCCTGTAATATAATTGGCAAGACAGTTAAGGCAAGGCAAGGACAGGTGGGAACTAGCAAGGAGGAATGCTCTAACACTTTCAACCAGAATAAAAGGGAATTGATACAAGAAGACAAGGTTTTTAAACAAAAACTCCTGATTTAAAAAAAAATTCCAGACCCTAGGTAAAAACTAAAAGAACTTTCTATGTCACATACAACTTTTATAACATCTTCCACTCAAGAAAGAATAATATGCGTGTATAAAAAATGTGTGTGGGGCTGGGGTTATGGCTCAGCGGTAGAACGTTTGCCTAGCACGTTCGAGGCCCTGGGTTAGATCCTCAGCACCATATAAAAATAAATGAATAAATAAAATAGGGGTATCATGTCCATCTACAACTAAAAACATAATTTAAAAAAAAAATGTGTGCATGTGTAGGTATACACACATGAACACCATCCCATACAATAAGCCTCATTTCCATTTCATGTCCACATATAACCTGTGTGTTTATATTTTCATATTGAAAGTACTAAATATCAAATAAATGAAGTTGTATAACCATGACAACAACCAATTAAAACTTAAATGTACAGGGAACTGACAAAAAATAGACATAGTGGCATTAGAATGACTTTCCCTCTTTCTCTTACATTTCCACAAAGCTTTACTATTCTAAAAAGAAGAATTAAAATGATTTGATTCTCTTGTTTGCAGTAAAGACCCAGGTGGAAATAGTGAAAATAAAATCATCCAAATTAGACCAGGAGGCCAATCTCTGAAAGAATAATATAAAATATTTACTACACATACTAATAACAGAGAATGTGGCCTAAGAAATTTTATAATTGCACTGACATTGGGGGAGAGAAGTAGTCAGCAAAAGCTAAAACTATGAAGTTCAATTTATGGTTTAACACATAATACATAAGCAGATTTCTGCAATTCATAAAGGGTTTTCCTACTAGGAAAACAGACAAAAATTACTATTACCATATCCCAATGCTAGTATAGACCTTTGTAAAAGATCCATTCATCCTTAAACTGGAAATGGATTGAAGAAGTACTGGTGGAGTGGAAGGAGGGAAGTGGGGGTGCTAGGGACTAAATTGGAGTGGACTGTGTTCCATGCTTTTGTGATAATCTCAGGATATATCCTTGTATTGTATACAACTAAAAAAATTTAAAAAAATAAAAAGAATAAGTAAATGTGGTGACACTAGACATAAAAAGTGACTATACCTTTCCTTCCCGTTAAAATAAATTAGTTTATAATTTTTAAAAATATAAATATAGGTGTCTCTATTTTCTATAAACAAGGAAGCAAAACTTCAATTTAGAAAACATAAATATAAAAGATAAACTAAGGAGTAACTCTCTGCCTTACAATGAGATGAGATTTCCATAAATATAGGTATTTATTTCAAGCTTATTAACTACCATCAGGCTTAAACTCACTTTTTCACAAATGTGTCTAATAGCCAAAGGAGTGGGGGAAGTCACTAAGCACCAAAGCAAAACTCAGAAAACACATAAGGTAGTCTATCTTACACAGGTTCTACACAATTCTATCTTACCAGTTCTACTTCTCTGAAGTAGTCCTAATATCATTTCTCCTCTTTGGTGGATTTTAACTCTTTTAGTGTTTCTATATTTCTCTTCTACTCCTCTGAGTCTGATATCAACCACAATTTTGCCCTACTGGTTCTGCCTCTTCCACTAATGATTATTTTTAAAAATGTGGAGCAGAGAAGAGACACTAAGATAGTTTTGAAAAGACTATTAAGCACTGCTTACCTGAAATTTCACACCTACTTGAAATCATCAAAAGCATTTTTCCCTATTTTATATTTTATTCCAGAGATTTCTTACTTTTTGATATTCACCTGGTCATGATAGCAAGTTTTAGTTGTTAGTTACCTATTAACCATATTCTACTCTTTCCAACACTACTTCCTCCTATTATTTATCATTCTGCTCCAACTGGATCATCTTACACAACCCACTTCCTGTAAGGGGACTACAGAGGATCAGTCACCATTTTCTAGCACTAATGGCCACAGAGAATAAGAGGTTCCCCAGCAACACTCTGTGTTCCAACCAGGTCACTCACAACTAGTGAAACAGCCCATATCCTTAGCTTCAAATATAAAGGCAAATAAGATCAGTGTTTGGGTATGGGGAGTATTTCTAGACAGGGACAGGGCACAAGGGTATTAAAGCAGAAATTAAATAAATACTACCTGGATCTTGGTCTTGCTTTGAGACTGTTGGAATCCTTAGGAGTTGCTGAAACAAAAGATTATTTGTTGTTTGGTTGGGTTTCATTTCTGCAGGTAAACAGGATTATATGCAGCACCTGGGCCCATACAGAACATATCAACAAGTAAATGTGAGGTAGAGTCGTCCATGTGAAGAACTTCAGGGCTTCCACATTGTCAGAGTTTCCTAATATTATTTTAAAGGTAAAGGCACGACTAAAGGGAAAGGAAAACCTGCGTAATTTCCCCCTTCTGTCAGAACACTATCTGAGAAGCCATTCTTCAAATCTAAGTTGATAAATGAAAACAACCCAGGATAAAAAGACAACCCTTTTAAGGGGTTATCTTTTATATGGCCAGTCCATATATGAGGGCTTCTTGGTCTATCATGATAGTCTAGTAATAGATTTCAAACTAGACTCTACTGTGGGCCAGGAAGAAACCTATTCAGGCAACCATTTTTTTTTAAAAATATATACTACCAGAGCAGCATGGTCACAACAAAGCAACACTCCTACAGGTAAGTTAAATGAAGCTGTGCTTCTTTTCCTATAAGAAAAATATCCTTATGCCCCATGTCTCTGTGACCAAATCAGACAAAGAATATGATGGAATGAAATCATTGAAATATTTTGTCCACCACATGACTTTTCCTCATCAAATTTAAATTATAAACTAACTTGCTCCCTAAACACCCATGGAGCCTACTTACCATCAAAGCTTGTGGGAAATAATTAGAAACATTTACAAAAGCATCACTCTTTTTGTTTTGTTTTGTTTTCAAACCTTTATGGAAGACAACTTTAGAAACCAGTAGCTATGTTAAGGTTTTGCAAACATTGCAAATTTTTCCTCATAAGATGTCATAAAAATTCATACAAAGAGTGCTACTAATGAGAAACAAGGAGAGTATAATTTGCTCATTTGTTTTCACAAATTTTTCCAAAAGAAAATGTCTCACTGCATTATTCCATCCTCTTACATGGCTCCAAAGACAAAAACCCTCCTTGGTTTGAAGCAGCCTGCTGAATTGATGATGATCATTAAAATCCTTGAGTTAAATAAGCAGGGCAGAAAAGGGAACTGAAAATCCTCATAAATGCTAACAAGGCACAAAGAGATATTCCTCTTAGACGTGGTCAGCTGCAAAAGAGACACATTTCTCCAACCTAAGCATTTTGGCTTACTGTAGTAAGAACACTGGCATTTTTCAGTTCCAAACAACTGAAATAGATCCAGGTGAGGTGGCACACCACCTATAATCCCCATGGCTCAGGAGACTGAGGCAGGAGGATCACGAGTTCAAAGCCAGCCTCAGAAACAGCGAGGTGCTAAGCAACTCATTCTCTAAATAAAATACAAAATAAGGCTAGGGATGTGGCTCAGTGGTTGAGTGCCCCTGAGTTCAATCCTGGATACCTGCCAAAAAACAAACAAACAAACAAAAAAGAGCCAGCGTTGGGGCTGCAGGGAAGCCAACATATGGCCAGACTCACCACGTAGCTGAGAATAAGTCTCTGGGCAGACTAACTACCACTGGCTCTGTATTCCTCTTCTCCCTTGAGCTCCAATGCTTTCAAGAAGTAATTGGGTAGGAGAAATCCTGGTGGTGTTAAAATACTGTTCCCCAAACCAGACCATGGTAACCGTTAATTCCTTTGTCAACTGTCATTATCTTTGTCTTTTTGCTGGTGTAGGGATGGGTGTGAAAGTAGGGGTGAGCCCTGCTCATAAAAGATAAGACAGATAGACATAGGGGGTGAGGGTGTGGATGAGCAATGGGGAGACAAGACCAGAGTCCAGGCCAGGAGTCCTGAAACCGAGGTGCTCCTCCTTACCATGACATTAACTAGCTGTCGTTACCTCCCTGAACCTCAGTTTCATCACCTATAGAGTGAAGATAATAAAAATGCAGCCCCTTTCTCACAGGGGCAGAAAAGAAGGTAAAGATACAAAAAAAAATACTGAATGTACTGTAGAGTTGCAAGTTGTTACTGTCATAGAATACATAAATACAAATACAGTTTCCTGCTATTTCAATGTTGGAAATCTGGTTTCTAAATTTAGTTCCTTCCGGGACAGCAAAGTTGGTACAGGTAATGGAAGGAGAGAACTTCTCTATAGCAGTGAGACCATGGGGTGACTGCTGGCAATGGAGCAGCCCCTAAAATCACCAAAAGCAATCTGAAAGCAACATTATGTAGGCAAACCAGTCTAAAACACCTCAGCATGACCCAGAGACATCAAGATAAAGACTGCCACTGTGCAGTGTGCTTGGTTGAATTAGGTTGGAATAGGGTGTTGAGTAAGAAATCTCTTAGACACCACTAATATAAACACTTTCAGCAATTAAAAGGGAAAGGGTATATGGAAAAAAAATATTTAACAAGGAATGCCCTTATTCCATGATAACATATTACCCTCTCATCTATCACCCACCACATCACCTTCATTGTCTATATTATTATTACCACCACTTTATTATTATTACCATTATTACCACCAACTGTCAAGAGCAGAGTAAGGAGATGGTTCCCCATCCACCTGCAAAAATGTATCCAAGGTAAGTCATGGTAAGTCTCCCTAGGTTTCAGACTAGAAGAGGCTGGACTACTCTATTATACTTAACTCTTCTATCAGCCTCCAAGCCTCTGAAGGCCTGGCTCAGTGCATATGGATATCTGCAAAAATGGTAAGGGTACATTGTGTTGTGGATTCAAGAATTCAGTGGATGAATCACAGCTTCTCACTTAGCTGGAGAAAGGGAAAAATTATAGCTGCCTGGAACACTCCAGGCATATCATCTTTCCAGGAAATGGGAATGGGAAGAGAGAGAAGTCTAAATATTAACCTTCTAAAAGGCAGCAACTGAACTGAGGTGAATTGTTTCAGGACATGGACCAATAACCAGAAGTATAATTACCACCTTGAGACTCTTGTGTCTCCCATGAGGAAATCAAGCATTTCTTAGGAAAAGAGATATTAAATAAGTTTGAAATAAGGAATTCCATCATATCCAGAAAGGGGCAGCAATGGTTAGAACAAATTGGAAAACACGCAGCATGCTCCCAGGCACAGTGTGAAATGAATTTAGATACACTTCATGTACTTTGGTACACCTGTTAGGTTTTGCTTGGTGATGCCAAATCCTAATCAAGGAATGTTAAAAATGAGATTTAGGGGGGCTGGGGCTCAGCAGTAGAGTGTGTGTCTCGCATGTGTGGGGACCTTGGTTCTATCCTCAGCACCACATAAATAAAATAAAAAGGTATTGTGTCCACCTATAACTAAAAATAAATATATTTTTAAAAAATGAGATTTAAAGCTCATCCCTTAGAGAGCACTTGATCTCATGCTGAAATCCCTAGGGGACAAAATAGGAAGAGTTAGGATGCTCAAAGGCTGCTGGAAAAGCATCTATTCAACTTTAAACAGTTTTTGCTAATACCATAACATGAAGTTTGCAAAAATTTGGAAGCATCCACATAAGCATCAAAAATTAGAGCTGGAAAGGATTAGCCTTAGGCATTTGGCCTATACAAACAGAGCGTTCCCCCTATGATGAATGAATCCAAACAAATCTCAAAAATCAAAATTAGGCCTGGGAATTCACATCACTTCTGGAGTCATGACTGATCTATAATCTTCATTTTCTATTTTGCAGCATAACTTCTAGAGCTAGTGGTTCTCCAAAGAAGCTGCAAACCAGAATCACCTCGGAGCTGACTAAAAATACAGATTTCTCAGGCCCTTATCACTAAAATCAAACATGTATTCTCATTCATATTTTTTCTCCACCTCTCCTTCTCTACACCCTCTCTCTTCCTCCTCTGATCCAACCTCCTGCTCCTTCCTCTTCTTCCTCCCACTATCCTTTTTAAATCCTAAATGACATTATTTGGAAAATATTTTATCAAAGCATAAGTCTCAATATTATATTGATTCCTCTATCCCAATTTTAAACACATAAGCCTGGGAAGATAGCCAGCTAATCACAACAAACATGATTTACTTATTTAAAAAGCAAGAGAAATAATAGTAAAAGAGAAAACAGCAAGTTCTTCATGTCCTCACAACCAGAGTTCCAACTATTAATGCCTTCTGTAGCCACTCAGTTTTAAACTGGGTTCATCTTGGTTCAACAACGGCTCCACCAGGAGAGAGCTGAGGACAGAAGCCCAGCCATTCTACATGGATCCACAAACACAGTTCCACCTTTTCAAAAAAGGACATCCCAGTTTTTTATTGTCTCCTTGGAATCCACTCCATGTATAAGTACATATACTTGCCTTCCTGGTGCTGAAGTATAAGAAAAATATTTGAGATTTTTGCTTTGGAAATGGAAAATACCTACTCTGAGCCTCCACTTGACTTACCTTATAGTTCCTTGCTCTACACAGAAACTACGTCTTGTTGAAATCATCTCAACCCCAAATCTTCTTAATTTTGTACTTTTTTAGCAAGACCCTAAATTCAAAATAAGTGATCCTGTCAATGAAACCTAAATTCACAACTTAAAAACAAGTCACCTTCTTCTCATATCTAAAAACAGAAAAAGGGTAGAAGGTCAAAAGGGTTTCCTTATAACAAAACACAAGACAAGTATTTAGAGAGAAACAGACATACTATTGCAGAGGGAGCAATCTTGTCACAACTATTTTTTTAGCTACAAATGTTAATATAGAAAGTACATTAAAATGGTTTTCTCCTACCTGAATCTTCAGACACATCCTTTGGTAGGGCTTCATTCATAGTATTTTTCAAGGCTAGCGCTGTTTGTTTCATTTTTTGAGAACACAGAGAAAGAAGAGAAAAGAACAAAAAACCTATGAAAGTTTACTTCTGAGGTATATTCTGTTAAAAGAAAGAATCTCTAGTCGTCACTTATTAAAACAGATCTTCCAAATCTCTAAAAGTTGCTATAGCATTTATTAGAACAATAAAGACCTCCTGGAGCATGGAAATAGGTTCTCCTCCTACACAGAGCAATATCAGGAAGAAGGAGAAATTCCCCTCTTTCATTCCTGACAGCCAGGTCAATGGCATGAGACTATCTGGAGTGAAACCCGGGCTAAAATATTTTCAGAGTTCACCGTTCACCCAGTGGTGATTCCACTATGCGTCAAAACTAAGATCCACCAGTTAGGAGAGTGATGAGAACACACAGGGCTACATCCACTGTCTATTTCATCTGCCTCTTCTAAGCAAATATTTAAATAAAAAGCATGAAATTATTGCTTAATGAAAAACTTATTATTCATGTTTAACCCCTATGAAAGCTGAATCAATGGCAAGTCTCAACAATAAAACCTGAAATAGCTTCACTTCAGATAAGCTTTTCTCATTCAAAGGTAGTGAATCATTATCAGATAACAGATGGAATGCTGGCTTGAGATTTAGAAATTCTTACTTCTTGTTCCAGTTCCTTTGCTTTTTTGTAAAAGTAAATAATTCATACCACATGAACTTCAGTTTACTTATCTCTAAATTTTAGGTGATAGAACATGTCAATTTAAGGACTGAATAAAACAGCATATGAGGAAGGTGCTGGTAGATTATGAAAACATTATGCAAAGTACAGGGCTTGGAAGAAAGGGGCCTTCCTACTATTGCAAGCCAACTCATTCCTGTGCTTGATGGTAGCTCTTTTTTTTCCCCCAGTGGTAATGGGGATTGAACCCTGCAGGGCCTTATGCATATGAGGCAAGCAGTCTTCCAACTGAGCTATATCCCCAGTCCTTGACAGTAGCTCTAACATGGAACACTGTGCTGCATGGCTTCTCAATAAGATAGGCAAATTGTGTTGCCGGGCACAGCGGTACACACTTGTAATCCCAGCCACTCAGGAGGCTAAGGCAGGAGGATTGTGAGTTCAAAGCCAGCCTCAACAACAGTGAAGGGCTAAGCAACTAAGTGATACCCTATCTCTAAATACAAAATAGGGCTGGGGATAGTGGTGGAGTGCCCCTGAGTTCAAACCCTGGTACCAAAAAAAAAAAAGGCAAATCGTGGCTGAGCTCCATGTCAGACCTCCAAAGAGAAAAAAAAAAACACTGAGAAAAAGATAAAGTGCTGGCACAGAGGCTTGGCCGAAAAGAGAATTTCCTCACAGATTACACCTGTGTACAAATGTAAATTTACATTGATTTTTCTGGGATCATATCTGCCAGCACAAGATTCTGAGCTTGCTGTTATTTCCACTTCATTTTCTAATTCATAAGACCAGATTCCACTGTAAGGTGTCAGAATAGCCTGAAATCAAGAGTGACAAAGGGTTTAATGAAATGAGGGGATCTGAACACCCAAGCTCTTGCTACTACTTTATAAACTATTGTTTTATAAAAAACAATTTGAACTATTGCATAATGATTTTACATGCTGAGAACTGTTCTCACTTGCTCTAGAAGTCGGCCATTCAAAAAGAAATAGATAAGGAAACAAAGGAAGAATGTCTTTGAAGGGGAAAAAAAAAAACTCATTCTTTTCGTACCTTGTTTGTCATCAGCAGTCCCATCTTGGGTAGGAACAGGAAAGTCAGCCATATCTTTAACAGATGTCTTCTTGGAAAAGAAAAACAAGTGAATTTACAAGCTGGAATAGAAATTAAGTGATGTGCACATACGATGAAAATGTTTAAAAAGCTATATTTATTGCCAAAGCTCTATCTTCAGTAAGCTACACTGTTTAATATATTTATTTATTTTAGGTTCCTAGTGAGGCATAAGGTAATTTCTATTGGCTGGGGCTGTAGCTCAGTGGCAGAGCACTTACATCACACGTGTGAGGCACAAGGTTCAATCCTCAGTACTACATAAAAATAAATGAATAAAGATATCGTGTCCATCTACAATTAAAATAAAATTTTATAAAAAGATAATTTCTATTGAATTTTTTCATATACAGAGGAAAGAAATAATGATTCAGATCACATGTATGAATCCTACATTAAATTCAAATCTGGACTGGGATTCAGCCAGAGAATTGAATAGCACTTGTCCAGTCAGCCAAGTATGAACCTGTGTACTTTTTAACAAGCAGAGAGAGGTGCCGGGTTTCTGTTCTCGCAACTAAAAGGCTCAGGGGTCACTTCAGATAAACTGGGCTAACTGGGCTGCACAAAATAACAAAAGACACAAATACCTTTTCCTTTGGGGTCGCTGTGACGGCTCCTCTGACCTTAAGGGTCCGCAGAAAGAGAAAGAGGGCGAGAGCACGCACTGACCCCTTTTATTGAGGAGAAGTTATTTAAATGAGGCAAGGGGTCAGGTTTCAGGGGGCTGAGTCTATCTTCATGATGTCCACTGTCAGCAGGTTGACTGACATCTAGGTAGGCCACACCCAAGGGCAAGTAAGAGAAGGGGACACACACAAGGCACTTCCATGGAAGATTCTATCCTAAACAGGGCAAGGGGTTATATTAGAAAGGAACAGGTGAGCATAGCTTCACCCATGGGGCTATAGCAAGACACACCCATGCACGAGACAGCGACCCTGGCACCCAGGAAAGGTGGGGAAAGCTCTGCCACATTTCTGTGACTGAGTGCCTCAGCACCCAGCCAGGGAGTGTACTCAGTCACGTGTAAGGTTGGTCTCCCACAGAAAAGTTCTGATAAGTGGCCCCAAAACATGGGTATTTGCCAGGATCTGTCATGCAGAGGATGTCCAACCCTGATTAAAAAAGACACCTTGATATAAAATGAGAGACCTTTATTGATGAGCAAATAGAATTCTCCTAATTCACATTTGAGGGAAGTCATCACTTAATGATGAATGCTTAAACTGATCAAGTATGAATTAATTTAAAATTGTTTAAAATCTATTTACAATAAACTTACTTCTTAAAAACTCTCAACATGAACACTAACTTTAGTTAATAATAATGCATAGTATACTTGAAAATTGCTAAGAGACCAGATCTTAAATGTTGTCACCACCCGGAAAAAAAAGAACTTCATGAGGTGATAGATATGTTAATTAGCTTGATTATGGTAATGATTTTAGCACACTTTTATCAAAACATCACAAATATATATGATTTTTGTCAATTACATCTCAATAAGACTAGAAAAATATGCACTCTAAAACCTCTGATAAAGCAAATATTATTATTATTTAATTTTATTTATATAAATTCTGGAAAGATAAGAATGAAAGGTTACTCATTGGATGGAGGAAAGATATCCAATGAGTAGTATATCCAATAAAAGGAGGATTCATCAACAAATGCCTTTTGGTATTCTTTACATTTTGAACACATTAAAAACAAAAATAAATATAAATTTTAAAATTTAAGGGAAGAAAAGTATATTTTTGGAACAGTTTGATGCTCAAAAGGTTAACCGGTTTACGCCTCAAAGCTTGAGCAACTCTAGAAAGATAAGCAATGCATCTATTTTTAAACTATTCCAAAAATTGAGGTTACAGTACTACTTGTGGTAACCTGATCTAGGATTTAACAATCCTCAGGTAATTCTTCGCATTACAATGAAGCCTCCAGATATAATTTCCTAATCAAAGTCAACCAGCTCCAGTAGAACAGACAATTTATCTTACAGTGTCTTCTTTCATTGTCTGCTCCCACATAGATTATAAATCAGACCTCTTTGAAGAAGAAACTGATTTGTGAATAGACAATACAGATTTTTAAATTCTATAAAGTTTGTTGGAAAATGTAAAATCTAAACAAATGGAATGATATCCCATGTTCATTAATCAGAAGACTTATTAAATGGCAGTCTCTTTCAAATTGATCTACATTCATTGCAATTCTTCTTGGTTAATTATTGTGAAAGTTTTTGGTTTGTTCTTTTCTTGGGTTTTTTTGGGGGGGTTGGACAGAATTTGACAAGCTTGCCTTAAATTTCATATGCAAATACAAGGGGGCCAGAATACCAAAATATTCATGAAGAAAAAAGATCCCATGTTCAATTTCAAAACTTACCACAAAATTACAGAAATCAAGATAATATGATACTAGCATAACCATAAACATATAGATATAAATGGAACAGAACTGAAAATCCAGAAATAAACCTATATTTTTACAGGTGATTGATTTTTATAAAACAATTCAATGGGAAAAACTATCCTTTAAATAAATGGTGCTGGGACATCTCTATATCAATACACAAAAGAATGAAATTTGACATCTTCTTCAGAGCTTACACAAAAATTAACTTAAAATAGATCATAGACCTAAATACAAAACTTAAAACTATAACATACTTAGAAGAAAACATAGTAGTAAGTCTTCAAAATCTTGAATTAGGCAATAGTTATTTTAGACAAGACATAGACGCACAAGAACACTTACAAATCAATAGTAGACAAATAAACCAATTTAAAAATGAACAAAGGATTTGAATAGATATTTCACCAACGATACACAAATGGCTAATAAGCACATGAAGAGATGCTTAACATCATTAGTCATTTAGAAAATCAAATTAAAACCACAATGAGGGGCTGGGGTGGTGGCTCAGTAGTAGAGTACTTGCCTAGCATGTGTGAGGCTCTGGGTTCGATTCTCAGCACTGCATATAAATAAATAAAATAAAGTTCCCTTGACAACTAAAAAAAAATTTAAAAAAACACAATGAGATGCCCCTTCATTCCATTAGGGTGGATAAAATGAAAAACATAATAACAAATGTAACCAAGGATGGTGGTGAATTGGAACCCTCACACACAGCTGGTACGAGAACATAAAACAGGACAGCCACTTTGCAAAGCAGTTTAGCAGTAAAAAAAGACAGAGTTACAGTACAACCCAACAATTCTATACTTAGGTATGCTCCAAAGAAAAAGGAAAACGTTCACACAAAAACCTACTCGTGTGTTTATAGCAGCAATACATATATTAAGCAGCATTACTTTTATGAGCCAAAAGAGGTAACAATCCAAATATCCCTCAACTACTAAATGAACAAGAAAATGGGGTATATCCACACAGTGAATACTATTCAACCACAAAAAGGACTGAAGCACTGGAACTGCTATGACATGAGTGAATCTAAAATAAATAAATAAATAAATACTAAGTTAAAGAACCAATCATGGGCTAGGGATACAGCTCAGTTGGTAGAGTGCTTCCCTTGCATGCACAAGGCCCTGGGATAAATTCCCCAGCACCACACACACAGACACACACAAAAAACCAATAATAAAAAAAATCATAAAACACCACATATTATATAATTCCATTTATATGAAATATCCAGACTACGCAAATCCAGAAACAAGAACTGCTTTAGTGGTTATTAGAGGCTGGTGGGGAAGGGGCAATGGCAAATGACTAATAACAACTACAGGGGTTTTCTTCGGGATGCTGAAAATGTTCTAAAATTAGACTTTAGTGATGGATGAATAATAGTTAATACACAAAAAACTACTCAGCTGTATACTTTAGATGGGTATGGTTTGTGAATTTTTTATCAATAAAGTTGTTTTCAAAAAGAAAGAAATTGAGTAATCTAAAAAACATTGCTAAAGAGGAATATACTTGAAATTAAATCTATAATTCTTTTTGTTGGTACATTATAATTATACATAATGGTGAGATTCATTATGCCATATCCATACATGCACATAACATAATCTGATCAATCTCATTCCTGGTACCTTCCCTTTCCTTCCCCTCCTCCTTCCCCCTGATCCACATCCTCTACTGGTCGTCGTCGTTGTTATTATTATTATTATTATTATTATTATTATTATTATCATCATCATCATCATTATCATATTACTTTAATTAGCATCATCATCATCATTATTATCATATTACTTTAATTAGTACATTTTAATTATATGAAAGCAGGATTCATTATGGTATATTAATAGATGGATATAGCATAAATCTATAATTCTTGATGAAAATAAGTAGAGGGTTATAGCTCTCCTGTCTTTAGAGATGTACTGCTATGAAAACCTCTCATCACCTGAAATCTTGATCAGCATTCATTCACAACACAAATATCTATACTGGACTCATTACTCACAGGGCTGGTACCAAAATCTATTTAAAATCCATGCATTTATGATAGATTAAAAGACTGGTAGAAAAAACAATGAGTAACAGTTTAGAAGAACATAAAATATTTAATCATTAGCTTTTAAAATCCAACCTATACTTCTTAAGTGGCCAAACCATCAATTAACATTATTACTTCATCCTTGAATTCTATTTACTACACTCATTATCTTAAAAACACACCTCATCCTCAAAAATATCAATTTGGTTGAGGCGGGGGTGTGTGGCTTTTGTTGTTTTGCTTTCTTATTTGGACAAAAAAAAAAGAATAGGCAGTTTTTAACCCCTTCTCCCCAAAGGGGCCAGTTAAATCATACAAAAGTATATAAAACTTGCCAGACATCATGATGCATGCCTATAATCCCAGTGACTCAGAAGGCCCGGCAGGAGGATCCCAAGTTCAAAGCTAGCCTCAGCAACTTAGTGAAGCCCTAAGCAACTTAACAAGATCCTGTCTCTACATAAAATATTAAAAAGGGTTGGGAATGTGGCTCAGTGATTAAACACTCCAGAGTTCAACCCCTGGTACAAAAAAAAAAAAAAAAGTATATGAAACTAGCTGCACGAAACATCCACAAAGGTGAATATATATATATATATACATAATGTCATCAAAGACAGAATGTGTGTATGTGTGTATGTATGTATGTGTGTGTAACAGACCTTACTGCCATGTGCATATTTGGTCTTCTTTACTTTTAGAAAAATCATAAGTGACTACATAGGGAAAGCAACATGAGTCAGCAGCGTAATTTCTACAAAAAAAAAAAAAAAAAAAAGTATTGTCTTCTAAGGGAAGGGCAAAGACCATCTAATACTGTGGTAAGTTGAAACAATATGCTTGTACACAAAGAGTAAAAATCACCCACCAATCAACCCAATAATTTTACAGAAGAGGGGCAGCTGAATAAAGCACCAGGAAGGCTACAACTCAAAGACAGTGTAGCAGAGCAGCGAAGAGAGATGTTAATCAGAGGGACTGAAGAGGCATGTTTGATTGGCTCATAGGGGAGTAAAGGATGAAATCAATAACATACAATTATATGCACAAGAACCCGGTATGAGAGTAGCTAATCACATGCAGGCAGTCATAAGAAATGAAAGAAATGTCCTGTGCCCTGCCTTTGATTTATACCATCTTATAGTGGTTCCAACTAGGGTCAGATGACCCTAACTGGAGTCTGTAGATAAGCTTCATTTATTTAGACGTTTTTATATTCTAATATGATCATTACAAGTACTGAATTATCATACTGTACCCCATAAATATGCATACTATTATATGTCAATTAAATTTTTAAAGAAACATTTCCAGAGTTCTGTTTTATTGTTTTTGTTGTTTGGTGCTGGGGATTGTTGATTGGTGCTGTTATTTGGTGCCAAGGCCTCAAGTGTACTATTCTAGTCACTAGAATACTAGGCTACATCCTAAGCCCCATCTCCAGATTGTTTGTTAGAAAGGAAACAGCAGGTATCATAAATAGAAATCACAATAGTGATGGTAGTGATGATGATGGTGATGATAATAATAACACAGTGGTGATAATAACAACTCCAATTTATTGATCTATAGCTAAGGATCACTAAATATGTGGCTATGTCCTTCCATTCACGGCTCAATATTGTGGGAATCCCAAGTTTCTCTGGGGATCATTCAAATCAGTCCTCATTTGGTCCAAAAGTTTAAAACTCTGAGGAAGTTTGAATGTGATCTGGGGACCAATATACATCTCAAATCTTTTTTCAAACTATTATGGTTCATTATACATTACTAATGTTTAGTAATTAAAAACACAAATTATTTACTAGGTTAAAGTAAATAACTTGGCTAACATTTTTTGGCTTAGTTTGGCTATATCTAAATTTCACCTCTAGAAGATGAAGAGATATTGCTTACTTCACCAAATGTCGTCCAAGGGAGAAGATAAAAGAATAATTATAAGTGTTGGGCATGTGGCGCAACAACTGCAAGTTCAAACCCAGCCACAGCAATTTAGCGAGTCCCTAAGCAACTTGGCAAGACCCTATCTCTAATTTTTTTTTTAAATGGGTGATTTGGCTTAGTGGTTGAACACTCCTGGATTCAATCCCTGGTACCGATACTAATAATAGGTGCACCCAGTTTTTAGATTTGAAAGGCCAGTTCTCAAAGTAATTACCAAGTGTGAAGAGAAAATGTTATAAAAGTTAGTTTCCCTGAGTTTGTAAAGAACATACGCTAATGATTTAATTCTATACACATCCTTATTTATTAACATCAAAAGATCTTTTACCTCCATCCGATTCAAGTCACGTGGTTGTTGGTTTGCTGACATTGATTCAGAATAAGACTCAAATAATGCACAGTCCCACTTGGGCTTAGGAAAAGCTAAGAAGAAAGAAAAAGAACATTTACTGTAGCCAGAGTAGTGTTTCTAATCATGTTTCTGAACTTGTTATGTATAACAACAAAATCTGTTCACTCCTATGTACTACCTATAAAACAATCATGTTGAAGTAGTATTTTAAGTTATTTACAAATTCAACCCAGTACTTCTATTATCCCCACTTCACATGTGAAAAACTGAGGAACAGGGAAGTGAAGCGATTTACTCAAATTCATATAGGTAATAAATGAAGATCAAAAACTTTAACTCCTACAAGTCCAGCAAGAGTTCATGCTCTTAGCACTCCATGTTACAACTTAGTAGTTGTTTTCCAAAGTAACCATCACTATCACAATATATTGTCTTAACTATGCCACTAGCATAAGTTTTAAGTGTAGTAACTATGGTGATAGTTCAAATACTATAAACATAAGTTAAAGGAAATACTTCATTTTAGTTATTACTGGAAATAAACATGATCTTATATAAATCTTATGACTAAGATAACTTTATGAAGTAATTACCTCTTTGTTTAGCAGAACCAACAAAAATAAAAAGCAAAAACTCTTGGTGATTTACAAGGAAAGAAGAATCACATCATGAGCTTCTTCTAACATATAAAAATGACAGTGGCTATTAATTGGGTAGCAGAGTGAATTTGCATCAGGGAAAACCATGATACTTGGGATAAGTTAATAACCTAAAATCAGGCTATTTTTTAGAAAAAGAGTCTGCTTCACCACTTTGTCGCAAAGTAGTTAGGAAGGAAATAACAGCTAGAAACTTTGTCAGTATCCTAAAAAGGAAAAGCAGACTGGGGTAGATAATAAACAGAAGCTACAAATCAAATTTGTCAAGAAAAGCTACTAAGGAGTCAAATTTTAATGCAACATTTTAAAAAGATTTTTTGAATCAAATATGAACAATGGATTGGCATTGTTTTTAATCTTTACCCATTTTCCTGCCCCATTAGGGAGTGAGATGCAAACATCACTTTGCAATAAAGGCCTGGCCCAACTCTCAGCTACCACATAGAGTTGAATATAAGCTCTTTAATTTATTCATTTGCTTGTTCTGCTCTGAATTTCACTGAATTTCAAATGGGGCAAATTAGACTTTTCTAACCACACCTGCTGGTCTGTTTCCTTGATTAAAAACTCAACAAAACACCTTTCAAAGCCCCGTTCTTCAATTCAGTCCCAAGAACAGTTTTAAACAACACCAGATTTATTTTTCTAGTCTACCAATCAGTCCTCTGACTAGATCTTGGAGGTCAATGCCTTATCATGAAAGGACTTATGCAGAAAGCTAACATTTTCAAAAACTACAAGAGACAACACTTAACTGCAAAATCTCTCTTCAATGTATCTACATCTCTCCATCTCCACCATCACTTCGCCAGTGCAAGACCCCTGCTGCTCCTGACTGAACTGCTACCTTAGCTGGGTCTTAGTTTCCACCCTTGCCCCTCAAAACCTGTCCTCTAGAGGGCAATCAGCAGGATTATTTCAAACAGGATTCCGTCACTTTCCTGCCAAATATAGATCAATATTATTGCCCACAATTTGTTCCCTACCTTCCTTGTCAGCTTCATCCAAACCTCTATTCCTCTGTGAACTTCAGCTAGAGGCCTACAATTTCTATTTCTCTTGTGCTCTAAGCCCCCTGTCAGTGCCTCTCCAGCATACATGCTGCTCCCTCTTCCAGCGACCCCTCCTCCTTCTTAGCCTCCAGAACCCTCCCTAGTTCATTCTTTACATCTCATCTCAAACATTTAAGGAGATCTTCCCTAAAGTTATGCACTCTCTTTAAATTCAATTGGATTTCTCCTTCACAGCACTTATCCCTGGTTCCAATGACATAATTTATGAGTTTATTTAACATCTATCTTATAATTGCCCACACATTCTATGCAGGTAGGCACTCTTATTCTCTGCATTCAGATCACAGAGAATAACAGAGTGTCACATACATAGTAAATGCTTGATATTTTGTTAACAAACTAGACAGCAAAAAATTTATATAAGAATTCGCCCAATCACCAAAACATTGAGTATCAAACAGCTTATGGGTAATCTGCCAAACAATTCAATTTATACTTCTAATTCTGCCTTTTAATTTTCACTGTTAGGGAAATGGGATTATTCCCATAATTACAAGTAAAATGACATCAGATACAATTTCAGTTTCATTATTTATAGTTTTCAACAATCTTGTCAAAAACTGGATTAATGTTTTAAAAGAGTGAATATAAACCAATCAGGAAAATGTTGGAATGAGTAAAGAGCTAAGCTTCAGAAAAAAGCTAAGTGGGATTAAAAAAAATGAATAGGACCACTCATATTTTCAGAGTCTAAAAGCATAGAGAATACCTAAAATGGCTATGGCCTTTTCTTGAGCTTCATACTAGGATAAATATGACTAATAAAGTGTTTAAAAATTAACTGATAAATCCTCAGAACTTACCTAAAATACACTGTTACTGAGCATGATGGGAGTTTATGAGGTCTCTCATGTTTTCTGTTAGAACTATATAATTATTATTCAATATTAAGCCCACAATCCCTGGAAAGGATAGGTGATTTTTGTTTAATCGGAGGTTATATGATGGATTTTTCAGTTGTTTCTGTATAAATGCATGCTGACAGACTCCAGTAGAAAATAAACAAGGGGCTTCATTCCAAACGATGAAAGATATGTCTTGATTGGCATTCTTCTTTTGACATACTGGGGATTAAACCCAGTGGTACTTTAGCACTGAGGTATGCCTTCAACCCTTTTTTATTTTGAGACAGGATCTTGCTAAGTTACCAAGCTGGCCTCAAACATGAAATCTTCCTACCTCAGCCTCTCAAACATGGCTCTCTGTTTTAGAGCCTCACCTCTACTGAATAAGCAAGTCATAAGATGCCATTTACAGCAATAAAGGAATCAAGAGGTTACTTTTCTTCTATTAACAACTTGTACCTTGGAGATATCAGATTTCTATCAGTGACTTTTGAAACAGTCCATGAAATACTTGGACACCTACAAAGTAACTTCTCAAATAAGGAGACAGGACATGTGGATAGGTTCCATGGCCACATGGCTTCAGAACAATAAAACAGCATTAATCAAGACACCAAAATGCTGCTGAGCATGATGCTGCACAACTGTGATCCCAGCTACTCAGGAGGCTGAAGAAAGAGAATTAAGAGTTCAAGGCAAAGCAGGGTATCTTAATGAGACCCTATTTCAATTTTAAAAAAAATTAATTGAAAAAAAGGGAAGTTGTGGCTCAATGGTAGTGTGCTCGTCTAGCATGTGTGAGGCACTGGGTTCAATTCTCAGCACTGCATAGAAATAAATGAATAAAATAAAAAACTCCATCAACATCTAAAATATATATTTTTAAAAAATAGGCAAGGATAGTCTCTAGGACTCTTACCAGGGATCAAAAGAGAAAACTGTGAAGGTATTGAGTGCTACTAAATAACCATGGAGCAGATCATGGCCTTTAGCCAGCTGTTAACCTCCAGGTGGCCCCACTCCTAAGAGAAGCAGATCTCTCTATAACCCTATACTACCTTCATAATATAATCCATGCAGTTCCCAAGACAGCCCCATATTATGAATTGGATATGAAGAAGCCCCCAAAGGTTCGTGTTTGAGACAATGCAGGAATGTTCAGGAGTAGAATGATTAGATTATAAGAGCTGTAACCTAATCAGCAGATTGATCCATCTGATGGATTAATAATGAGTGGATTAATGGGTGGTAGTTATAGGCAAGTAGGGTATGACTAGAGGAAGCCGGTCTCAAGGGGTGGGCCCTTGGAGATTTCATTATCCCTGGATCCTTGAACTAAGCTCTCTCTGCTTCCTGGCTGTTATAAACTGAGCAGTTTTCCTCCACCATGCCCTTCTGCCATGATGTTCTGTCCCACCTCAGGCCCAAAGCTATGAAGTTCATCCACCATGGGCCAAACCTCTGAAATCATGAGTCAAATAAACTTTTCCTCCTCTAAGTTGTTCATGTTGGGACTTTTGGTCATAGCAATGAGAAACTGACAAATACATCCCAGGAATGTCAGGGTTTCTGGGCCACAATCAAAAAGAAAGGAGAGACAGAGAGACAAAGAGGAAAGAGAAGTTTACCATACCATGTACTTAAAAGTTAACTCCTGGGGATTCATAAGGGTCTTCCCTAGCCTTGAAGGAAGGGCAGCAGGCTAGAGTAAGCAGAAAGCAGCTGTATTAGCAAAGTCCACTACCTGAAATCAGTAGTCATTTTTACTCTCTGATCTCTCACTTTTGTACATTTTATGGGGCATTTAGAAAAATCCCAGAATGGGTCACTCAACGGATTATATTTACCTGTTACTGGCACCAGCAATGCAGTTTCTTTCCTTTGGTTGACTCCCTACCTGCTATCTAATACAGAAAATAACACTCTTTTCATTGAAGAGTCAGAGACAGCAAGACTGACTTAGATGAGACATTTGCCCTTTGATTTGGTATCACCATGAAAAGGAAACACAATATAAGGCCTTTTCCAGAAACACTCATGAAAGAATACTCTAGTTATGAGTAGTTAGTTTCTTTAGATACCACTCCCTCTTACCAATAATCACCTGTGACTAAGCTCTCATTTTTTAAGGGGGCTTCCCTAAAAAATGAGAAAGATGAATACACTAGGTGAACAGCTGGAACTTTTCAATAGAAACTACACTTCTCTAATAATGGAAATCATACCAGTGTCCACTGCCTTTGATAAGGGCAAGAGATATTTTATTTTTCTAATCTCTTAAAGGAACTGACACAAATGTTGGATTCACCATGACTCTCTCCTATCCAAAGGGTTCAAACAGTTGTTTGGGGTATTTTATTAGGCATAAAAACAGAGTCCTGCCGGGCGGGTGGCACTGGCCTTTAATCCCAGCAGCTCAAAGCCAGTCTCAGCAATATTGAGGTGCCAAGCAACTCAGTGAGACCATGTCTGAAAATAAAATACAAAATAGGACTGGGGGGAGGGGGGACATGGCTGTGGCTGAGTGGTAAAGCTCTAGCCTGGCATATGTGAGGCACCGAGTTCAATCCTCAGCACCACATAAAAATAAAATAAAAGTATTTGTCCATCTACAACTAAACAATATATATTTTAAAAGAAGAAGAAGAACTGGGGATGTGGCTCAGTGGTCAAGTGCCCCTGAGTTCAATCCCCAGACACCCCCCCCCAAAAAAGAGAGTCCTATTCTAGAGATACTGAGAGTATCTCAAGATGCCAAGTCAACACTTGGCTCTACAAGATCTTGTTCTTCACTGTGTATCATACGAGAGGTTTGATATTTGTCTATTCCGCAACTGTTACAAAGGATAATGACTTCAGTCCCAATCCATAGGGAACTAAAATGGGAAGAACAGATGATTCCCACTTAGCCAGTTTAGCCCTATTACTCATATCATAAGATATGAAAGTTTAATGCAAGTTAAAGAAAACTGAAGATACCAAGGACTCCCCATATATCTCATATCTGGACATGAGATTAAGAAATAAAGTTTTTATTAGACCTCCATGGAAAGTGCCTAAAGTTTATGATGTACAATAGGCCTTACCTGCTTGCAGGTACTCGGGCTGCAAAGTTGGCGGGAGGCCCTCAGGTAGTGGGTAGCCGTTCTTTCGAGCCACAATGAGATGAAATGCCGCACAGAACTCAGGCAAAGTCAGGGCTCCATCGCAGTCAGCATCACTAAGTTCCCTAAATAGAACAGATGTCAGAAATACCTGCCATGAGGCTTCAGGCTCAAACATGCAAACACAACTCCCAGGCTCTCTGGTGGCAGTCCCTAAGCCCTCTTGGCTAAACCCATTTGATGGCTGCCATACCACCAGAGTTGGGACTCAAAACTGGCTAAACTCGTTTGAAACTTCAGGGGGCCACACAGAGAAAGAAAAAAAAAAGCTAATTAATAGCATCAGCATCAGTAGCATTTTATAAATAAAAATTTAAATTCTTTTGGCTCTCCAACAGTTCTATTTTACAACATTGTAAAGGTGGCACAACAAACTGTAGCACAAAAAGAAAAGGAATACCTAGAATTCCAGGCTTAGATGACAATCGCTTAGATGACAATCGTTCAGTAAATGCAGGCGGAATGAAGCAAAGAGCCCTGGAGGTGTTACTCAAACAGGCACAGGAAGGGTGTATGCAGACATTATGCAGTTTACCCAGAGCACAGAAATAGGTGTTTCATTTTCCAGCTTTAAGAGAAAGCCTTGAACTTTTAAAATCATGTAAATTTTTGCAACAAACTGTTCTTTGCTTGAGAATTCCCTCTCTTGAGAAAATACAAATTGGCTCAATAAATATTGACTGAATTATGTTTTAAGATAAAACTAGCAACTAGGGAAGGCTGGAACCAGATAAGACAAAAAAGAAGAAAAGGGGAGTCTTGAAAAGACTTATTTGTGCTTCAGTCACAGTTCCCACTACAAGGCACAGACCTTTTTACTCAGCACAAAAGAAATCTCTTTGCCAAAGGAACTAAGACCCCATAAGCACTAGCATCTGTTAGATGTACAGATTCTTGCATCAGGACAAGCATAGAGATAAAGACTTATACAAAATTGTACTAGAAAGGTATTGCTGTTGGAAAGAAAAAAAATATCACTTAAGATAAGCTACATAACTTTCCTTTGGACATTCACATCCTCCTCCTCCAATAAAATGTACCAACCCTGAAACAGCTGCTCCCCAGGATGAGGAGTCAGGGAATTCTTCAAATGCTAGATTCATAAAATGTCATTTGGCCTTCATGGATGTGTCTTGACACCCCACCCCCCAAAGGAAGCCTTACGCCAATAATGATAAGCCTGGGAATTCTGCCAAAACAGACTGTATTCTTTTCAAAATGATAATTTCTTTTTCTCCTAGCTTCAAAACCTAATATAAGGCTTGCTGAAAAACAACTAATGCCAGTGTATATTGTCAAAGTACCTAAATCCAGCTTAGAATCCCAGATACACTGGCATGTACATTTATTGAAATGAATTTTCAATAAGATAAACAAAACATGACATGCCATCATAAATCCTATCATAATTTTTATGAATCTTCATGAAAAAAACTTTACATAAATACCCCAATGTTTTCTTTACATATTTATACCAGCATGATCTCTTGCCCAATCTTGGGGAAGAACTAGCCCACACACAGCTGGAAGTTTATGGCTCCAAGTATTTTCACAGATGCAAATAGAGCCATCTGGACCATCCCTGCAACAGCCCTTCTGGAACAAAAGCTGCAGCAGCTTCAGCAGCAAAGTAAGTGAATGCTACAGCTGCAGGCTGAATTAGGGCCCAGCTGAGAAATACTGGCCAAATTTAAAATGCTCAGAGGCGGCTAGTATAGTCAAATATAACTTAATTCCACAATGTTCCTAGACCTTCTGTTCACCTGGCCGTATAAAATACTATAGCTAATAGTCTTTCAAGGTCCTCTGGTTATTTGCCTCACACCAAATAGAAATATCTGAAAATAAAATATATAACATAGAAAGTCTCACATGCCCACAACTGCCTAGAATGAAAAGGAATGGAGATGGGGATAATAATTAGGACGTTATCAGTTAACACTTCTGGTGCATAGTGTGTAGCAGATACTGTTCATTGTGCTTTTCATATGATAACTTAATCTTCATAGCAACAAAAATCTGGAGGCTGGAGTTGTAGCTCAGTGATAGAGCACTTGCCTCATATGTGTGAGGCACCAGGTTCGATTCCTAGCACCACATATAATAAATAAGCAAATAAAATAAAGGTCCATCGACAACTAAAAAATATTTTTTTAAAAATCTGAATTGTGTTCACTCGGTGTGTTAAAAAAATCATTCAAAAATAAGACTAAAAAATACTAAAGGGTGAATATGTATGATAATATGACACTAGTTGGCATTAACTCTACTTACCATATATAAGAGAGTTCTGGGATGGAAAGCTTCGATTTGGTGAAGAAGTTCTTGGCCACTGAACCTATCAAGAAGTCATTGTTTAAATAAATCATTAATTATTTATCTAGAGCAGCTTTTATATTTATATGCAAGTAAATCCTCATTTTTCATTCAGCAACCTCTACCATACAACCACAAACACACTTATTCCTCAAAACAACTACAAATAACGGGACTAAAAGCAGCGTATGTCTTGCTTAGCATAGTAAGACCCTGAGTTCAATCCCTGGGATGGATGGATAGATAGATGAAATAAAAACAAGGTATGAAACAGCTTTTCCAAGAATATATTCATCAGAAAAGGTAAAAGTAGGGCTAGGGTTATGGCTCAGCGGTAAAGCGCTCGCCTCACACTTGCGAGACCCTGGGTTCAATCCTCAGCACCACATAAAAATAAATAAGTGAAATAAAGGTATTGTGTCCAGCTACACCTAAAAAATAAATATTAAAAAAAAAGAAAAGGTAAAAGCAACAATGACATTCATATGACAGATGCAATTCAGATAATTACTTCAAAGTTCATTATTACCAAAAAACTGCAAAATTTTATTCAAAATCCAAAAGACAAATTTCAAATTATTTATAAAGGGTGGAAAATTAATATACAATCATGGTAGAAAAAGCAAGCAAAAAGAAGAAAATTAGCACCATGAATCCCACCAAACAAAGACACACCTTCTGGAAAATATATTTTTGTCTTAAAATAAAAAATAAAAAGGGCTGGGGCTAGGGTTGTGGCTCAGTGGTCGAGTGCTCACCTAGCATGTTTGAGGCACTGAGTTCGATCCTCAGCCCCTCATAAATGTAAAATAAAGATATTGTGTCCAGTTAAAATTAAAAAGTAAATACTAAAAAAATAAATAATAAATAAAAAGGGCTGGAGACATGGCTCAACGGTTGAGCGCCTCCTGGGTTCAATCTGCAGTACAAAAACAAAAAAACAAAACATCATATTAGATCCAAACCCACAACTCAAGGCCTGGCCTGGCCTGTCTTGGCCTTCAGACAGTAAAGAGTCACTTGTAACCGTACTGTTCCAGAGAAGTTAGGTGGAATCCATAGGGAAATAAACAGCTAAAACGTTGAACTAATGCCTGGCTGCCACTAGTAAAGCCTGAGGGCTCCTGCCTTTGATCTGTCCTAATGAGAAATACAAACCCAAGCCCCACCACCATGCCATCATAAAAGGAGACTCCATTTAAGTACAATTTTCCAAAATAGGTAACTCTATACAAAGAGAAGGTAAATTTGTGGTTACCTAGGACTAGGAGGTGGGGAAGGCAGGAATAGGGTATAACTGCTGACAAGAACGTGGTTTATTGGTGGGTAATGAAAATGTTCTAAACTTACATTGTGACTATAGGCTGTGAATATACTAAAACCACTGATCTGCAAACTCGCAGTGGTCAATCTTATGGTATATGAATTATATCTCAATAAAGTTTGTTTTTTAAAAAAGAGATAACCTAATCATAATGTATTAAACTCTCCTAACTATAATCAAACTTTATTTAGAAGGCATTTAAGAGACAACCAGGGAAATCTGAACAATGAAAATCTGATGTTAAGGAATGTGCAGGCCAGTGAGGTATGCTTTTTTCAAAGAGACCTTATCTTTAGAGATACATTATGAAATATTTTTAAAATGAAATGGTATGACAATTGCTCTTGAAAATCATCCGGGCTAAGAGGGAATACAGATAAAATCACTGGTGCTATGTGATAGGCACATAGGGGTAGTGGCCAGTCTACTTGTATCTACATTTGAAATTCTGAAAAATAAAAAATTTGAAGGAAAATAAAAACATTTCTAACAAGTACCTATTTTGTATCTGGCTAAATATATTGTGAAGAAAATCACTAAGAAGAGGGTAAGGTTAGCAAGTGGTCAATATGTATAATCTGGGTTTCTCCTTGCTTTTTAAAATCATGATAATATTAATTTGTTATATCTACATCATTCATAAAGCCATTACCACCAGTCAGCAAGTAATGTTTACACTTATTTACACAAGCATATCTCCATTACACATCTTATTTCATAGAAGACTGGTCTTGGTTGAAATTTAAATATGTCAGGTTATAATTATCAAGAATATACTGTTATGCTTCAAAATTGACATATTAAAAAAAAAGACAGTTTATTAATTTTTCTTCCAAACTCTACTAGTCACTATTTAGCCTTCAGTCTTATAAAATATAGGCACACAGGAATTAAATCAATTCCTCTCAGCTGGAATTTTGCATGAGAATTCAATAGGAATACATATATCTGAAGATAACCAAGAAGAATTACATGTAGGAAAATGCTGGTCAATTTTCCTCCTATATTTTATTTTCTCAGAAAAACCAGAGGTGAAAGACTTGAGCTGAAGAAAACAAGCATGAATTTGAACTTCTAAGAGTGTATAAAACATAAGGAGACTCCTCAGAAGGCTACACTCTTGTCCTTGCTCTGACTCTAAAATAATGAATAAGAAATCTAAGGTGTCCCCTTGGTGCTACAATCTGCCATTTCAAGAACTGCTGCAGGGGCAGGGGTGGGTAAAGATTTTGAGAAAGTAGACAGGGAAGATCATTAGGGTAGAGAAAGCGGGTCAGAGGAAGGAGGAAGGAAAAGGGAGGTTATTATGGAGTGATACTGATTAAATTTGCTATATGCATGTGCAAGTCTGTCACAATGAAACCAATTATTGCATACACTTAATATGCACCAAGAAAAAAATAGTACTGTTTCAATTAATAAGGTGCAGGGTCTGGACCAGTTTCCCAAAAATTCCCATTTAACTTCTTTGAAATAGAAATATAATTTTCCCAAAGTCATTGCCAATTTTTTTTTCTGTGAGATTTATACTTGAAAAGAAATTCCACGTTAGAGGGCTGAGGTTGTGTGTGGCTCAGCAATAGAGCACTTGCCTAGTATGTGCGAGGCCCTGGGTTCGACCCTCAGCACCACGTAAAAATAAATAAAATAAAGGTATTGCATCCAGCTGCAACTAAAAAATAAATATTTTTTAAAAAATAAAACAAAAAAAGAAAGAAATTCCACCTTAGAAGAAAACAAACTGAAATCACAGAAGGTTGTCATATTCATTCTGTATAAAGTACTTCTCATGATGTTTACTGTAATTCACATGAGAACAATGTCCAAGGACTCCATGTTCTCACCTGAAATGAAGGAACTTGGGTCTGGCTGAAGGGATCGGAACTGATTAACATAGTACTCCCGCTGTTCTTCTGTTACCCTCCAGGGTTCATCTGGGTAATTACTGTTGTTATCCTGTAGTTCTCTCTCCACTGAAAAGGACTTAAAAAAAAAAAAAAAGGAAATGCTCAGAGAACCTGCTTTTAGTGAGATGAAGGAAACACATCAACAAAAATGTTATTAGGCATTGTATTTAATTTTTTCCCCAAGGGAATAAATCTAACTGCCTCATAACTATAATGTGACTGCAACATCAATTTACAGGTAGACATCAAGCTTTATACATTTTGTTTTCCTCAATGCTATTAACAGGACTGAACATGAAATACTGAACCCCTGGTGAATAACAAGAAAATTTTCCAATGTCATGAAGGAAGGGTTAAAAAAAAAAAAAAAAAGGTCTATCACTCTTATCTCCAACTATTTACCATACTCTGATCCTTTCAGATCAGTTGAGTCTATGATAAAATAATCTGGATTCTTTTTAAACCAGGAATAAAACCCACTAGAACATCTATAACTACATGATCATTTTTCTGTTGCGTTCATACAGTGTAAATCCAGGAGTCAAAAGCTCCAATTGAAATCTTGTGTCCCAAGGTCCTGCATGAGTGGCAAGTCAATATCACAGACCCCGTCCTTCCACGTGTATAAGTTGGGGATAACACTAATAGAGCTGAGTGATGAAAAACAATTGTCATGGTACAACAATAAACAGGGTAACAAGGGGTGCATCAGACCTGCCACTAGAGGGCGGGCTCATCAAATTTGAAGATTTAGGAGCCCAGAAAATCAGAGCAGCACAGAACAAAACAAAAGCTATCCCAGGCCCTGGGGAAAGAAACAAAAATGGTGATTTGATGATAGGAGGAAAAACAGCAAGGGCTTTGTTTAACTTTTCCCATCCACTCCAAGATTTAGGTGCTACTTGCCAAGGGCCACTTTCATGGTACCAAGAAGTGAACATCAGAACAGTGAACTTTAGGATAAAAGGAGAATAGGAAAGAAGTGGGGTGGGTGATTACTACTGAGGAGTCATCAAGTTGCCTGCTTCTGAGCACACTGTCAGGAAATTAATCATTGAGAAAGTATTCTACCCACTATCTGCAGAAAAGACAGCAAACCATCTCCTTTGTCCCCAACCCCATACACACAACATTCCAGAAATTAATGCTTCCCAGGAACACCTGTCTCCCTCTCACAATGTGGGGAAGAAAGAAGGATGTACAAAATTTTGAGCTGTGATATAACCTTGTGATGTCATATTTGAAGTAAAATATCACTCTGATACCTGAAACCTTGGACTAAAGGTACTTTGAGAGGGCTGGGAGAATGAGATGAAACTCCACCAGTAGAATGCATATTCCTAGAAGTGCCAAGTAGGAATGCACCCAGCAGAGGGGCTGCTCTTGAAAGAAAGCATCTGTTCCTTTAGGACAGTCACAAGGAAGGTCACATAAAGGAGATGGGAGATACATGGTTGTTAGTCACTAATAATCATTATGTCACTTTCTACTAGATTAATTTCTACCAAATGTAAATCAAACTATTTTTAAATGCCCAGGAAGTTACTGTCTACAAGTTAAGACCTTGAGTTCACAGAGTGCTTTGACATTTATAAAGAATTTCACACACCCCTCTTTTTAGTCTGTCCAGATTTTTTAAAGGTAGGCATAGCAAGTATTATTTATTATCCTTTTTCCAGAGAGCCTAAGGGACTGGCCCATGTGTTAATGAACCCCTGCACACAACAAATAATGACTTCTGTTTTTAATCTCTGGTTCAAAGTCAAGTTCCTGCATACCAGAATGTTTTTTAACTAGTTTGCATCTATTTGAATTTTTTTAAATCTCTATCATTCTAATAATAGACAAACAATATAAAGAAAGAAAGCAAGAAAAATTAAAAGTCAGAGTACTCAACAGACCCACAACTTTTCAAAATGTTCCTACCAAATTCCAAATCTATGCCCTAGCAGCACTTTCTGAATGAACCCAGATGTTTAACAGGGTTCAGAGGTAGAACACAGGATGGAGGGACGCCAGCTGGAACTGAATTGGATTACAGGCCACATTATAACATGGAGAACTCACAGGAGTACTGCCCTTCAAGTCACCTCTGACAGAAAGAGTAAGAGCAAAGGAACCAGAACAGTGGGGTATAGACAGAAGAGACAAGAATGAACACTTAGGAGTGAACAATGAAGTGGGCAGTGGTGGTTCATGAAGCAGGCAGGATAAAGGTCAGAAGATTGGTCCCCGCACTTCCCAGTGAATAAAGGCACAGAGGTCTCCATGCTGAGTGCTGGCCTACTGCATTCCCTGGTTGTGAAATGGAAGTTCCTTATCCCCAGGAATACACCACTTCCCTCCTGGTAATGAAGCTGCCCTATCCAGTTGTTAATGTCAGTCCATGTTTGCTCTTTTGCAGTCCCATGACCACCTTCTCTTTCTTCTCCCTATCACCTCACACCTGGGGGGCCTCAGTGGTCTCTTAGTAGATCTCAAGGCTATTCTGACCAAAGGAATCAGAAATGAACAGAACAGAGTGATTGATTCCTCTGCTTACAGAGATGACCAATCCACTTCCTCTATCTGGCCTTCAGGACCCTTAAAATCCAATGTCCCCCTTGCTCACTCTCAGCAGGCTTCTGATTGCCCATGTACTCACTATTTATAGGTCAAATTTATGTCTTCTCCTCAGGACACTTTTCCTCTGATGCAAGCTGACTCAAAATTCTGCAAGCCCCAATGCCCCAAAGGCTCTCCACATACCTCCTGTGCCCACAGCAACAATACAAGGCGCTGCCTATTCCCTGGCCCATCTACAAAGGTGGAGCCAGCAGCCAGAGGTGGACCAAATGACCCACCACATGCCCGGTCTCACTTGACTGAGTCGGGTAAGGGTGGGTGGGCACACAGTGCTCTAGCCTTTGAGGTGCTCTGGCCCGGAAAGCTCTTCTCTTGCAAGAACAACTTAGGCCAGATGCTCATTCTTGGAGATGTAGATAAGAAGTAGATAGCTTAACAAGTAGAGAAAGAAGAACCTGAACAAATGAAGAGCAGAGCCATAATGTGGAGAAAGGGCCAGTGGGATTCAAGAGGGGATTAGAACCAAGGATGAGAAGAGCCTTTGAGAAGCAATACAAGAATAGGGGGCAAGGAAGGCTACTGACAGCGCAAAGGAAGAGGCCAGGAAAGCAAACTCAATGCAATTAGGCAAGGTCCATGATGGCAGAGCAAGCATGAATAATCAAAAACTCTACCTTTATGGACCACTGGGTCGGCTCCTTATCTCTCATTTCTTTGGATTCCCATGAGAACCCCAAACCCTCTTCCTTTTCAAGAAAACTTAAGCTATCAAGGAAAGCTTCTACTCCCTAGAACCAAAAAGGCATTATGACAAAGAGAAAAGTCATATGAACACTGTGTAATCCATACATAGTATGGTCCTTCAGTTGTGTTCACTAAGTGTGCTAACCTACTACCCTCTCTTTCCCCTTGCTCCTAAATGTACATTTTAAATTGGTTTAAAAAAAAAACAAATCATTTGTGTATTCTTTAAAAAAATATGTACCTTTTTGATAATTATGGTGAGCATTACATAGTTTGAACATGTAAATTGTTCTTAAGTATCTTCACATACGTTTCAGCTTGGAGGGCTAGAATCACATCAGATACTCCTTTAACCCACATACAATCCCTACCAGGTACATCACAGATACCAAAAGCATCTGAGGTCCACTTATTGACAGGCTTGATTAAGTTCAGGAGCATATCTCACATTGCAACATATAGATATGGAAACTGCTCTGTGTTGTTCTGAATGAAAGAAAATCTCTGAGTCCATTTTATATTTTAAAGTTTGAGAGCTATCAAAACAAAACCATGTCCTGTACTTCACCTATGATCTAATCTTCATGGAGGTTCTCAAGTTCCATATCTAGTAAGCATCTGAAGTACCAAATAAGGGCATATGGAAGGAGTAGATGACCTTCCACACACCATTAAGCTGAATCATGCCAAAAGAAAGCTGATCTACTACAAGAAGCAAAGTCCTATAAACTTGAGTGGATCAACAGTGACTTGAAAATGCATTCATTCAATAGATACTTACTAAATAGCAACCATATCCCTTTATGACTACAGATGGGCAAATAGATTCTTTTTCCCAGGATGTCTAGAATTCAGTGAAGGAGAAAGACATACAACCACAAAACAGCAAGAAATGCTTTAATAAGACACTCTAGAACTTTGCTACCCAAAGTGTGGTCCCCGTTTGCATCAGTACCATGGGAGACCTGTTAAGAAATGCAGACTCTCAGGCCCCACCCCACACCTACTAAATCAGAAAGTCTGAGAGGGATCTAGCACTGATCTAACAAGCTATCTAGGTGATTCTAAGCACACTGAAGTTTGAGAAGCAATGCCATAAAATATGCAGGGCAAGGCAAGGAAGGGAAATGGTATTTGCGAAGACACTAAAACATAAAAGAAAATGACCATTTGATAGTAGCTCCTTTGGGCTAAATATAGACAGAGTAAGCTGTCAGCACAGCATGGATATTAGTGCAGATGCCTCAAGATGGTACAGACAGACAGAAAGCAGAGCCCAGAGTTACCAGGCTTAGACTCTGTCTTGAAGACACTAGAAAGCCACAGGTAAGTATTAGACAGGATAATTAAATAATCATATTCAAGTTACAGAAAGATCTCCTCAGTTAGGAGAACAAAACAAGAGACTAAAAAGGCAGGAAGAACAGTTATGGCCATATCAGAAACCTGGAACAGACGTCAATGGGGCCCAGAGGTAAAGAGGGCTATGGTGGGAATAGGAGAAAGAAAAAACACATGACCTCAAGCAGCAGAAGTCCTATTCCAGGCATCTGAGTATCTTTTGTCAGCAGCTAGGGACCATCTCACCACAGGACCCACACGCATGGAACAATGTCCTCCAACAGAATCACAACAATCAATGCAACTTTTTGGAAAAAGATCTAAAATGTCAGTCACTTAAGAGAGAATGGCTAGTTACAAAGACTGAAGGCAAAGATGAGGGTGAATGCTCTTGGAGCCTTCGCCATACAAGTAGAAACCAGAACC